CAAGGAAATCTCTTTGAGCAACATTTAATATGGATTTAATGTATACGTTTAATTAATAAAGTAGTTGGAACAAATATGTTTTATTTACTTAATATAATGTAAATAATTCACAACAACGAAAATCTTTAGGAGTGAATATCTCCTAAACAAAGCGTTTGCGGACATACCTCAAGAAGAAATTTTTTCTTGTTTTGAGGCTCTAAATTCATATTTTCAGTTTGGCAACTTAAACCTGAAACACCCTGTATATATGTATATATATATATAAACAAAGGATTAAACCTTATAAACTAAGGCAAATCATATTTTATTTTCGTGGAAATTTCACGACCTATATACTAACAAAATACCATGAATGAAGTGTACTTTACGTGAGAGGTTAATGAAATCATTTCTTTCTGAATGTAATTACGCACGTATAAATTCTCAAACTCGCATGCTGCTTCTGAATTAAGTACGCTATATCTTTCGTGGAAATAAACAAAAACAAACATCAGTATAATACGGCCAAAGTGGTTAGTATAGTTTCGAATAATAATTTTAAAAATATTAATGAATGACCACGTATTACGGAAACACTGAGATATTGGAGGAAATAAATACTTCACATGTTATACATTGTGTCTGGTTGTGAAATACTTAGTATTGATCGGAATAATCTACAAAAACGAACAAGATATTACAAAATATTCTGAGGCTTCGAAAGGAGATAATCGGTAGCTTGGGTAAATTGGTTATTTAAGAATGTGAGGAAAATCAGCAAAAGCTAATTTTTTTTTAAAATCTGTTCTAAATCAGAACTTCTAATAGCTAGTTCATTAATTTATAAAATAATATTGTTTTAATTTTCATTTTATTAACAGCTAATACAATCAAACGGTATCTACAAAGAGCATTCACCGGAAAGAATAAATATAAAATTTTACATCAAGAGAATATGAAAAATGCTGTAAATTAAACACATTAGGTTTAATGTAGGATCTTTTACTATTACTATATATACCAAAACTATTATATGAGTACCATATCTATTTGCATTTCATTATTTAATTATACCAACAGATACACTGCAAAAGCCTGTTAGAACAAAAACAGAAAATTTTCAGGATACGGAAAAAACTGTGTAGTTTTTGTTCTATGAGCATTGTATTTTCGGTTAAAAATTTGTTTGCAGGCTTAAAACAAAGATGTAATGCTTAATGTAACTTTTTGATCGTATTTCTGCTAAATAATCATTTAGATCCATTACTTCTAGATTATAGCTTTTTAATTACTTTGAAAGCGGGTATTAATTGGGTGAAATCAATCAAATTTGTTGTAGCAACACCCATAACTTTGTTAATAATGATCAAATCATGACAGGAACAAAGCCAGTTTTAAAAATGCAGAAAAACAATACTTCTAATAAAAATTTGTAAAACATATGACTCAAAAGCGAGTATTTGATCACTAAAGGAGGGCGTACGCACCATTTTGCAGTAGTCTATGAAAGTTTCGTTTTTAACAAACAAATATTCTCACAAAGAAATATCAATGAATATCTGACCTTACTGGCATTCTTGTCGGACTAAAAAAGAATTTGTGGCACTTAATTTTTAATTATGATTAAATAAATAATTAAAATATACAGTAAAAGGAAGTAGCTTGAGATGAAAAACGCATAAATTTAAAATATTAGACGAGAAAAACATATTAATTAATTGTTTTAAATAATATGTTGTATCATCTATGATTTTTAATTACAGTTATCACCAGCTAAATAATTTAATAGTAATATTGCTTTAATACGGACGCTAACGATGTAAATGTTTTGAATCTAAAAGATCAAATGATGCAAAGGCCTATTTTTACTTGAATTATGCTGGGGTTAGTGAAAGTAGAGTGATACTAGATTTTTTTGTATTAATGATTCTCATCAACCGAAGAAAAGAAAATGAATCTCTTCCTCTAATAATACATCGCATTTTCTTATTTCTATATTACAATGCCATTTGCTCACCGATCAATATACTATGCTGATTATTCTCCTAAGCCAACTAGTTTCACTTATTTCGCCTGGATTAAACATGCTTATTTTTCTGAATATTATTTCAATTGTATGGTTTGATTCACGAATGCTTGGTAAATTTTAGGTAATCTGCTGATATGTAGATCACTTCGTTTCTGATCTTGCAATTTCAAAGATTCATTGTATTGAGAAGATGAAACTAGAGTTATTTTTTCGCCTAGTGTTAAGTTTTGCAATTAATGAAATCCATTCTTTGTCTCTTACTATCTGAAATTCGGCGACATGGTTTCGAACAAACTCATTTTGCAGATTCCAATTGGCTTTGATTGTTTTAAAGGCCGTTCAATATTATATTCCAACTTACCACTCTCTACTTTGCATCGTCTCAGGGCAGAGGAACCCAGGCATTTAACCTAATAACCTAGGGAGAGGGGAAGACCTATACACTTATTAGAAATTTAAAAAAATAACACAAAGCGTATGAGAAAAATTAATTTTAGCCAATTAATAAAGCTAATCGGTACTGCAATCTAAGCGAAAAATTCTATATTTACATGACCACCTTTCACTGAGCATTTCATCACGTTTTTTCGGTAACGACACAATCTATATAACCTTCACTTAAACTTAGTTTTTTACATCACAATTTGCTTCTTTTAAGTCACAGGTTTTTACAAAAGGCCATAGAGAAGAAATGAAACACCGTAGATTTCATTTTGTTAAAGCAGAATATGTGCAAGGACAAAATTGATTAGGAAAGCTCAAAACGTCATTTTCCATAGAAATTATCCATACAGGCTCCTGCAGTGTGGCTATCGATATATTCTATTAAAGAGAAATAAGTAGGAATCATGTTTTTTTCTTACTGGTACTGTGTTAAAGGATTTTTTTTTATTTTACTAATAATCATAAAAAAAATATCCGGTGTATGCAATTATACCTCTTTCCATGCTAAGTAAAAAAAAAAAAAAAAAAATATATATATATATATATATATATATATATATAATATATATATATATTTAGCTGTAAAAAATATATATTCGTTCGATGAAGATTTCATTACTTATTATATTATTTCATTTTACATTTTTCAAGTAGAACTTTTAACAAAATTGAATAATTTTTTCCAAGAAGTGTTTGGATTGTTCAGGGAGATATTTATAATTCAAATTTCCTGAGAAAATAAATAATATTGAACGGGGCAAAATGAGGAGCCTACGCAGAACACTCAACAAATACATTTTAAAAATGTGTTCCAAGAAATTTCAATTATACAAATGCTAATTACATGCAAATGTTAATAATACTTAATCTGTACTTAAACGTTTTTTTTTCACTTGATAGAGAGTTTAATTATACTTCAAATTATTAATGACAAATAAAAGTAATTAAATGCAGATTGTATATATGTGGATATAAGCATGCGTGTATTTAAGTAGTTATTTTGATTCATTTAGTCTTTTATTTTATATACATTTAATTTTAGTGTTATTATTTATTTTACACAATGTGAATGACCTACTCTTTTATCACTATTGTTATTGTCCTGAGATGTGACTAATTTCTTATCTAATCTCGTATTAATTTTGTTTAGTGTGTGTAAATGTATGTAGATATAAGATCATTTACTATATTATAGCATCCAAATCGAGTCAATTGTTAATCAATCTGTTAACTTCTTTTCGTGCTTATATTTTCTCGTACGCATTATTTATTTCCATATTGAAAAAAAAAATATTCCAGTAGCTAAATAATACTTACAATACCACCATAGTAGCGATTAAAATAAAAAGAAAGAAAGCCCATTCATAAAAACGGCCTTATTAAAAAGAACATTAAGGTCTGGAGGCTCCAGTTAAAATAGGTCATGGAAGAAAGGTCAGCCTAGCGGTCACGACTTCGCCACGGTGCTTGATGGAGAGGAACCGCAGAACTGGAAGAACATTTGCCTGGTCATCCTGGAGGAACTTCGCATCCCAAAAGAAAATTTTCGGTGTAAATCATGTCCAACGAGGTCCAAGAATCGACCGAATTTCTGGTAATCATACTTGATTTGGAGAATTCAGCACGAAAAGAATTTTACAATTAGAATTTAGTGACTAGGATAAATCGAACAAAATCTATTGAACCTGATAAAAAAGGTGAAGTTGGACCATTGATGATAATGTTATATCATTCCCAAAATTGAAGTTTTTCCGTGACAGCCTTGAATAGCAACCTTTATTTATTACGCAAATGGTTTTGGTCGATGACAAACGAAATAATAAATTAAAAGTGAACTATAGCCCAGAATCATTTATTCGAATATTTATTTTTTCAACTTTATTTTTCCATCTACATATATGCAAGCTCCGACCACCAGCGAGTGTTATAGCGAGAAGTAGAAATTGGAAGAAGTATTTGGTAGGCGTTAGGGAGAAGAGTTCCTAGCGGTATCCTTTCCTGTCTTGATTTTAATATTTGCAGTTGGTGGAGGAGATCTCTCATCCAGCTTCGTTTGATTCTCCTACGGGGATTATCGTGCATGTTAGTTGTGGTCATGCATCGAATCAGTGAGTTGGTATGTTATGTGTTATGTTCACTTATTGTGAAATCTTTTATAATGTGGGTTCGTATGCGGTAGTTAACTATTGACATCTGTATGTCTCTATGTAAAATAATGTTACTAACGTACCATGAAACCTGCTGGCCAATCAATATGTCAAGAGGTCTTTTGATTATTACTTGTTCAAATGCTTGTATCCTTGTTTACAATGAATAATATCAGGAGGAGACTAATGAATGTAGGGAGATGTACTCTATATGTTTCTACCTGCTGTGTGTCATTTTAATGAGTATTTTCACTCTAATGTGAATTTTGATGACCTGATGACCACCACTAGTAAATAGTTGTAACCACAAAAGGAAAAAACAAAAATTCTCTTCATATTTTATATTATACTATATTATATGTATTATATTATACTATAAATGATATAGATGTACTCACGAAGTGCTGTGGAAGAGGTAGGAGGGGCGGGTGCTGCGGAGACAGGATGACATGGCGGAGGGTGCCGCTCTCATCCACGATCTGCTGGACCACGTGACCGTGCGGTACCTGTACCGGCATCGCTATCGGGGGCGAGCTGTTGGTAGACACCATCGGAACTGTCATCGGCCCTGCAACAGAGTGTGGATTAGAGGATGATTCCATGCTATCCAAGAAGAGTGAGGAGGAGCGGTGGCAGGGAGAGGATATGGAAGGAATGGTTGAATATGAAATAAGAAATAACTCAAGGCAGGTAAATGGATAGGAATGCAGAAATAAAAAAAAAATTCGTCGAGATACTCTTGAATTTCTTCCACAGCTTCCAAGAGTATTTTGACGAATTTTTACTGAAGAGGGCCCATGAGTTTGGGTAATATTAAATAAAAATATTGACTGACATTCAATTATTCATGATATATTTCTTATATTGTACACCAATTAAAAACAAATTATAATGGTATGACTAATAATAAAAAAACACAATAAATATTAAATATATATGCAAATTAAGTTTCTATACGAACTAAAAGGTCCACAATGGTGTAGAGATCGTTGACCGTGATATAATGTGAGGAGTTGGTCGGGGAGTGCGGTCAAATTCCGACGTTTCGACCCCACTTTGTAGGTCTTCATCAGGGCGTCGTATCGGGCACTGCAGGAAGCAGTTGATAGACTGCTAAGTCATTTGAAGTAATTGATAGACATATAGTCTTTTAATTAAACGTTTAAAATACTTTTAAAAAAAATAGTATTATTTGATAGACCAACTACTTCTCATCAAATAAAAGGTCGTAAAGCTATGACGCGGATATTCATTTTTTGATGTGAGTGCATCTTTGATTAGATGAGATTACGTAGATGAGATCAAGAATTTCATTTCAGTAAATCCAGTCAAATAAACAGGATCATTGCAATTGTCATTGACACCCACTTCGATAAAAATGATACGTTTTATTTAAAAATTCTGTGAATAATATTTATTCTTGTACAAAACCTTCCTTGAAAGTGCAAAATCTTAACTGAAAATTAGGTTTTAACCTTATAATTGATCAGTCGACTGCTTATTATATATATTTTTACACTGTTATTTTAGTGACTGTTATTATGATTTTAAGACAAATTACTGTGCGAAGAAGGCTAGTGTGCTAACATACTACTAACTATGCAAACTTATGTAAACATTTTAATCATTATATACAGAGTGTTTCAGGGTGTAAATCGTTAACTGCTAATTAGTTAGAACTGAACTGAGGAACATTGTTTTCTTGTGAGCTTAATGAGTAAAGAAAAAGAAAAACATTCAATGGAATAACGTTATCAACATAAGAATCAAATGAAATAGGTGATGCAATTTATATGACCGTGACTGTATAATTGTATAAAGAGCAGACAACGAGAATCATTACTCCTTATCAACAATTATGTTCCCTTTCTTCAAAGAGATAAATTTATATAATGTTTTAAAACAATAAAATATATTGTATTAAGATACAACTGAGAAACAAAGCAAGCGAGCAAGTAGTTAGACGAAGACTGAGGTGACGAATAAGAAATCCCACAAGATGAATCACCTAATAAAAATTCGACCCAAATACAACCATTGCCCTCGTACCCACGGCAACATACAAGCAGACTACCAACTAGCCAAATGCGAAAGCAAAGGTTTTAAAAGAATGTTCACGACAAAACGATCGGCATTACAACAGGAAATGATTATCGATGAATTAGAATATACATAAAATTGTTTCTTGCGTGGGGGAGGGTAAGTTTGAGTAACATTATTTCAATGGTAATGAAACTATAACTTCAGTTATTTTAATGGCAGTGGAAGGGATAATCATAATTCCAAAAGAAGTAGGGGGCAGGATGGCCGAGCGGGCTAACGCGTGTGCACAATGTTCAGTAATCTGATAACCGAAATAATTACAAGTTCGAATTCCGTTGTTCGGTGGGACTTTTAAATCGGTATCATTCCTCCGCCCTCTTCCCCAATCCGGGAAAAAATCCTTGTTGCCTAAAAGGCAAGGGAAGGGAGACAAACAAAAAAGCCCAAAAGAAGTTGAGGCTATGACGGCTGAGATTGTTGGGGCTTCATAACGTTGGCAACCTCGAGTCTAGAGGCTAGGGTTCGAATCCAGCCTGATCAGGTTTAAATTTATTCCGAGGCGTGTATAAGGATTCATGACAATCTCACTCAAGGTAAAATAGATTTAGGGTAACCTCACAGCTTTCCGTATGCCAGAAATAGTTAGGAAGACGTTAAAAGAAATAAAAAGGAAAAAAAAATGCAATACCGGTGAGCTAATAGCTTATATATAAAACAATAATATATATTATAGCAAGCTATCTTGAAAGATGTATCTAATGAAACAGTTCATGAGTTTCTTCAGTCTCATTTCTAGCCTGGCAGATAATCCTCCATACACTAAACAGCCGTAGTCGAAAAGAGGGAATATAAGGGAGGTTTCGAGGAGCTGTTTTTTAGAGAAATACAATCACGGAATCTTAGGAGTTGTTTAAGGACAGTTATGGATATAGTTATTCCACGAGAGGTTCTAGTCAAAGGTTAATCCTAGGTTTTCGACTGAAGGAAAAACGGATGGGAAGGTTATTGAAGTAGAGTAAGGAAGGGAGCTAATGAGATATCTGGACCCGATAAGAATAGGATTAGTTTTATCTGCATTTAGCTATTATTCCTTTATTTCTGCCCATCTTCTATGTACATCACTTATTATTTGTACCACTTATTAATATTATTTTGAATGTTGAAATTTTTTAGTTAGAACTTTGTCATTTCAGAATGCATTTTTGTGGTTAGACAAAGTTTGAGAAAGAATCAAAACTTTTTAGTTTAGTTTTTTTTTAACAAATTGGATTTATTAAATTATTTTAACCTTTTAAAGTTATTTTAAAGTAATTGAATAAAGGCTACTTATTCTTGTAACAATATTCTACTTTTAAATCAAGTCCATGTAGTTATAATTAAATAAAAAAATAAAAAAAGGGCAGATATATGTTGTTTTTTTTTACAAAAACATCAGAGTAAAATTTAAAAAAAAAAAACATGATCATCTAATTATATATGCATTAGTAAAAACAAATATAAATAATATAAAATTATGAAATTTTAGTGTAATATGTTTTTTTTTCTCGAAAAATAATGAAAATATCACACATCATTTCTGAAATAATCGATTCAAATATGCTATGCAAAAATAATAGATTTTTGCTAATAATATAAATGATTTCATGTTTAACGCTCATGGAAATAAATATAAATGAAGTACCACTTATTCCAGTATATAAGCGTATTCCAGTTAGAGCATACTCAAACCAATTACTTTCAACAGTTGTCGGCAGTTAAAACTACGTAACACTGATAGTTTTCATTATTTTTCAACTGAGGGCACTAAAATTCATTTGGAACATAGCTAACATTGCAGTGGGTGAAACTCGATTCGCCTTAATTTGTTAGAACCATTCCAAACCAAGGCCACGAACGAGTTTCTAACATCAAATGCTTATAAAGATACTAAGTATTCAAAGCCTTAATGTAATGCGGGTTTCAAGTTCTCCTTTCGTTTTCAAAGCTTCGCGCCGTACCCACACCCGTGCCGAGTTGTCAGTCAAATATTCTTTCCTGTGCTTGGACTAATATGACATTTCATTTGAGAAACATTGTTAGCTGAAGATAGAGGTCTACATAAAAAAAAATCGGTTTTCAAAAAAAATATACCTCCTTTAACAGAAATACTAATTAAAGAAAAAAATAGTAACATTTTTTAGTTCCATTTCGAGAAAGTAAAACATCCTCTACATTCTATCCAAGAAAATAATTTGTTGTTCTATGTTTTTTGAAGAGGAGACGTCCTTAGGCGCGTTTTGCACTTTTTTGTGGAGAGGGAATTAGATTGATCCGTCAGATAAAAAGATTTAACCTTCGGGTAAAGTAAAGCAGAGTCGACTAATTGAAATATTTTAAAATATGGATTGAAATATCTCAGAAACTAAAAATCAGGCCTGCATGCATTCAGTAAGCTAGGGAATCGTTCAACATTTCACTCTCTCTGTAATGGGCAATTATTCAAAATTGTATCTAAACGCGACGCCGTGTTCGAGAGGCCAAAAGGGAAAAAAATAATGTCTAAAACCAAATTATAACGAGTTTTTTTGAAGTTATGTATTAAAACATCGCAGAAACTAAAAATCGGACCTGCATACTGTAAGCGAGGGAATTGTTCAGCATTTCAGCTTCTCTACAAAGGAATCTAATTTTTAATTTATTTTTCATATTATTAATCTCACCTGGTTGATGTTCTCACTTCTATCGTGTGGTCTAAAGCACATACCCTAGTTAATTTTTTTTTCATGTTATCAATCCGTCTAGTTTCAACAAAATGATAACAAAAACATACGGTGACTCGTCTGAGGATTCATGTCATTCTTTGAATATTAAAAAAATATTCAAAGAATTACAACGTCTTTTATTCAATTTTTATTTGACGGAAGTACTTCGTGAAATTAACAGACCGAAAGTTGAGCTCAAAATGTAGCTAATAATCAATAACTGATTAATAATAACGCAGGATAAATCAGGCATTTACTCAACTGACAACCAGAAGTTACCAAAATACCAAAACAGTTTTAAAATCAGTTGGAAATTGATTCATCACAAGCATAAATCCTTTTAACGTGTGAAAGCAAGCCACTTGGGAACGGCCAACAAGCGGGACGACAATATTGGCCAAAGCTTTCACCAATAGCCAACATTCGCCAATACTTCCATGCATGCTCAGGAGAGGAGCCTGGATAAATTAAGTTATACGTGTTCAAAGATGTTGTGAAATAAAAATGTCAACATAAATAAAGCTTAGTTTAAGAGTAGAATGCTGATTATTTTTCCTTTTCTTCAGATAATATTATGATTTTGAGATGTAGTTGGTTGGTTGTTGCATCAGTAAAGGCGTAAAACCTGTTGGTTATCAACGCCGTTAGTTAAGATTATATGTAATCATATCTTCTGGCTGCAATAGGAATAAAATAAAATTATAACGACGTAAAATGCAACTTTTGAAAGTTATTTAAGGTTATTTCAATCCAAAATTTTATGACTTATAACAGAAGCTACCTG